GTTTGGGGGAAAAATTGATTTTTGAATAGTGATATGATGGGTATTGTGTGGTTGAAAAAGAAGAAAAAGTTATTGATGTGATGGAAAATATTATTTTATTGAAGAATGTGTGGTTGAAAATGAGAATTGATTTACTGAAAAAAATGAGAATCTGTACCAAACATGCTCTAGGTATAATATGGGTGATAATATATCAGTCCGTTTCAATCATATTTGCACAAAATTCAAAAGTGAAAATAAGAGATTAAGAAATATATACAAATCTAAGAAGGACAATTGAATATTGGTTGGTGGGGTCTACATCAACACTACTTCCATCATCATCTGCATAATTATCTCCATGAAATTGTTCAAGCACCAACCCCATAGCAAATGCCATCCAGGCTTGATTGAAAAAAAAAAAAAAGTCTATCCCTGCTACAACATTGGCGGAAGAATCCACTTTGCTTCGGATCCCCGCCACAGCCTCCTTTTTTGCACCGAACATGTTGCAGCTCCGATTCACGAAGGAGCCTTCTATTTGGTACTCTTCGCAGGAAGTATTGTACATCTCTCCACCATGACCGCTTGAACATTTGATTATTGATAATATGTGCATGCTAAATAACGGCTTCTGATGCGAACCCACATAATAATTGAAACTACGAAACTCATGACAGATTAGATCAAACCCAAGAAAGTCAAAAATCAAAGTTTGAAAAGCTTGACCCAATGAATTATTGAACCAAATAACCAAGACAATCGTCAACAATATATTGACCCCGTGATCACAAAACTTATAAACTTTATTTAAAGTGTTGAACCTCACAAGAATTTAATTCTTGATAAGTTCGAAATTAATTCAATTGAAGAACGAGAAGAAAGCAATATACCTCGCAATAATGTCTCTCAAATTGTGTGTTCTTACAATGAATGAAATGGGTCCTATTTATATGGAACTCGTAAAAACTAATTAAAAACAGAATTAAACCTTAAAAGATATCGTACAAGAGTTTTAAAAAAAAAAATAGAAGTCTATGTGAAATTTGGAAAATTAAGTCCCAATATTGAACTATGCAACCACATAGGTTTTATTGCGTGCGGTTGCATAAGCCAGTATTCTGCTCTCATTTTGGTCGCAGTATGGATGCATGCGGCCGCATGCATAGGTATATTATGCGGTCACATAACTTAGTTCTTCAACTCCCTATTCTGTTGCTTGTACAAAATTGATCTATCTTGTTTCTGCTTTCAATCCCAACATGAAATTCGTTCTTTTGTTTGTTGTGATCAATGTTTCGTCCACTGCAGTTTGAACAAGGAATCCCATAACTTCCTTGGCATTCATTGTCTGTGACCTTGTCATTGGTCCTTCCTCTAAGATCAACAGATCCTTATCTTCACTAGCTCTCGTACCATGATTCTCATCAGCTTCTTACCCTCTATTCTCTCGCCGATGAAGCCTTCCCACATTTGAAATGACTATATTCCTTGTGTGTGCGTGTTCGGGGGTTTGGGATGTTTTCAAAACGTATTAATTACGTTTTTAAATGGTTTAATTAGTTAATAGGGTATTAATCGAATTAATTAATTTTTGAGTGTATTGGGCCTAATTTACCCAGTTAACTATTTCATTTTAGTATTTTTAAATAAAAATATGCTATTGATAGTTATATAAAATTTTGATAATTATTCATGTCAAATATGTGGATATCCATAGAACCTCAGTTTTTTTAATTGAAAATGAATGCTTAAGTCGATTTCAAAATTTGGGTGATAAATCTTGGACGTCCTGGAAAGGAGGGAACTGTATACCAAAACTTTGCAAAAGAAATTCGACGAAAAGAATTATTATTTTTTTCTTGAAACATAATTGGAACTAAAAACTCATTGTGAAATGCAGCTTTAGGAAAAAATACCCCAAAATGAAACTTTAGTTAAAGATGCATCTGAATAAATAAAAAGTTGACCAGCATAGTGTAATCTTGTACAACCATAATGTTTTTACAACATAATTCATATATTGAAGTAGACACGATTATGAAAAAGTAACACCCGATGAGACATCTTAATTGTCATATCCAATTCGAGCCACATAGCCGTTTATAATTGCATGTTGAACTTTCATCTTGGTTTGGCTAAAAATAATAGATTTTAATAAAAGTTAATGAAATATATAATAAAAACTTGATAAAAATTGTGGATCATATCAAATATGTTATTAAAAATGAATTTTAAAAAATGGTGACCAAACATGAGCTAAAACGTAAGTTTTATCAAGTGGAGTTCGTCAAAGTCTTATATATCGTTTATTGTTTTCATATTTAAATGACGCGAAGTTTTACATTAATATATTATCAATGTAGTGGTTTATTCGAGAACACAAATATAAAAATCTAGTTATTGGTTTTGAGTTATGTCCCTGTTTGAGCAACATTAAAAATTTTATTCATATTCTTCTACTCATTTTCAACCACACATTTTTTAATAAAATAAAATTTTTCATCACATCAATAATTTTTCATTCTTTTTAACTACACATTCTCCATCAATCTACTATTTCAAAATACGTTTTTTCAAAATAATATGGCTCAAACACACCCATAACTGTATAAAATTTTTCGTTCGAATCTTGGCTCAGATACTATCTTTATTTTAAAGGGACAATCTCGAAATGATTATTATTGTCGTATATTCAAGCGTGCAAAATCTTAATGTACTTTTTTAGATTCTATATAGCTCATGCATATAAAACAGTAGCCAACTTTGCGACCTGTTTTGCAATAATAGGGTCCATATACTTAGTTCTTCCCAGGTTGTGGCCCGTGGGGCAAAAAAAATGCCGACAAATGATTAAAGCAAGAATTCTCACATGAAAATGGTGGATTGCCAGAGCAGAAAGAGTCATTTTGATTGCATGGACACCAGATTATAGTGGCAAAAACTGTGCATAGCAGAAGTAGAATTTTTATTTATATATCTTAGATTTCATGGGGGCATTTTCTCAAACAGTTTGTAATCGTTCCACCCAAGATATTCTTCTTCTATTTGATTCTAGTCTGGTCACCTTTTCTCTCTACTGAATATACTAGACAATTCACAAATAAATTAATGCAACGATCACACTAGTTAGAACACGCCCTTAAAATCGATTTGTAATGAAAGGATGTGTTGGAAAAAATAAATATAATGGCTGACTTTGGCATAAATTTTGGTTATTTTGGGATATCAAGGTTGATTTGTATTCTCCTCCGTAAGAATATTGAAATAATATATTTACTTGCCAAAAATGATGATCAGGTGAATGAAAATTGAAGTTCAAAGTAATGCATTGGAAAAAAGGTTTTGTGTTGAACGGAAAATAGTTTAAAGTTATCCCACTTAGAAAAATAGATAAATGCATGACTACTTTAAATATGATTGCACTTTAGAAGGGTGTAATTATGTGTAGCATAGAAACTCTCTCCATGTGCGTGCGCAAGAGGGGTGCAAATCACTTACCAGAATATATTTCGGACCTTGAACTTGTGTGCCGTTGTATTTTGGGAAACAGACGCTCGAACTAATCATCAAGCACATACAATATGGCAACCGAACCAATCAATATAGATGAGATCTCTGAAAACCCTGCTGTGAGTTCTGCTGTATCTCAAGTGCCAAGTTTTGTCGTGACTTAAGAGTCAAGTTCTGTTGTTGCTAGATTGTCAAGCTATACTATGAGCCAGATTGTGGCTCAACCAATTGGCCATGTCGTTACTGTTCCTGTTAATCATGGAGAAAACTCAGAGCTTGAATTTCAAAAGTGGCAACAAAAAATGTTATTTTACCTGACCACCTTGAACCTTGCGAGGTTCTTGATTGAAACTGTTCTTAAACTCAAAGGGGGTGACGAAGATGTTCAAACCGTTAGCGCACTTGATGTGTAGAAACATTCGAATTTTTGTATCGAAACTACATCATGAACATGTTAGCAGACTCGATATACAATGTGTATAGTACTATAAAAATTGCTAAGGAGTTGAGGGAGTCATTGGATCAGAAATATAAGATTGAGGATGTCGTGGCCAAAAAATTCATTGTTGGCCGATTCTTGGACTACAAGATTGTGGACTCCAAAACAGTAATCAGTCAAGTACAAGAACTCCAAGTGATTCTTCATGAGATTCATGCTGAAGTGATGATTTTGAGTAAAACTTTCCAAGTGACTGCAATTATTGA